TCTGTATAGGGTGCTTAATAGCGCCCACTTTCGCAATCGCCTCATCCCATCAGACGCCAGGGTGGAGTGTTAATTGCCAGCTTGGGTTATCGCAATACTAAGTTGACAGTGCACAAATTCATTAATGGGTTAATCCTGCCGCAGCAAGTAGGAGACTAGCTCTGAATTTCATAAGCGTCAGTGCCAGAAACAACAATGTAACTACCACCTTTTTCAAATAAGTAAATCAAGGTAAATGGCGTAATATCCAGCAAGGTAGTAGCAAGCCCTTTATTCATTGGAGAGGCATACTATGGCTGATAATATATCCATTATGTCGACTGTATGCCGGCAGAATCCGGGGGACAGTTATCCCTTGCAGGTACGATATCTTCTTGCAAGAATAACGCACGCACCAACTCTCGTCCTCTTAATCAGTTATGACGGTGGCAAATGCGACGAGACGCATTGACCGACTAGATATTCGTCCACATTTTATGCGTGACGCGTAATGCATTATTTTTGCCAAAAAGAGTGGCTGTGGAGGCAACAGTGAGTATTAATCGCAGTCAGACTGTCAATCAAACGAAAACAAAGGCATCTCCTGGCCGCTAGTAGCATTCAGAGTCATTGCATAGTTGCAGCTTAAAAGCACGTTGGGTGAGTTGCAATGAGGGAAAACCGTACAACATCTCGTTTACTTCCACTTCTCACCAGTGTTTCTCCTTATTTGTAAGAACTGGGTTTAATTTATGAGCAAAATCTCATCCTATTATTGACCTACATAGTATGCCTTCAAACACATCCAGACTTCATTCCAGCCAAGTGCAGGCTTTAAATGGACCTCAACTCCCTCATTAAATGTACCTCGCTTTAGATCCGCGTTTCTATATTCAGCACTGATATACCCAAGTTTTTTAGAAGATGCCCAAATTTGTATACTATACCTCATTCGATGTCATACAAATCCGATAATAGTACTAATAAATATAAAGAATCAGAAGACGCGATCTCTGGAACAGTAATTTTATGCGTCTGAGCTTTCGACTCGTCAATGACTTTGGGTTTTCGTGTGAAGTCGAAAGCTCAGACGAATAAAATTACCGTTCCAGAGATTGCGTCTTCTGGCTCTTTACAACAAAAACCTGGGGTATGCATATTTGCTTCTATTTGCACTTATAATTATAATTGAAATAAATGACGTAAACCCTCGTTAGAGCACGCCAATATGAACCCCATATTGCATGTGGCCTTGCACTTAGTCCGAAACGTCTTGCCCAGCGGTCACGTCTGCTTCCTGGAAATCGCATTTTCGCTTATATTGGCAAATGCAAATTCTTTGCTCCTATAAGTCACTGCTTAAAATCCCAAGTTGAAGTGGATGTGGCCGAGAGCGAAGCCATTTGCACGTAACGCTGTTTTACTATTGAAACAGCACAGGTAGCAGCGTAAAAGCCGGATACATTTCACAGAATTTGTGCCACGAATGAACATTAACTGTGACGGCTTCGAATTCTGAGTAGGTCCTCAAGCGTTGTGCCAGATGGTTCCCGATCAAACTTATTGTAACCTCCAGTCTAACATGCTTGGAACTTCTCCACATCTATTTTTTCTGAACTTCTATCTGACATGCGTGGATATTCTTCTCCGCGTTTTTTGCTCTTTCCTTATCCATCTAAACTTGACTTTTTGCTTGGAAACGTCTTGATTTGACCTTGAAAGGGAGTGTCACGCCTTCTGTTTAAAGTCGTTTCTGTACACGCGTGTGTGCCGTAATATCGGTTGCAATTACATTTTGACAAAAACAGCACGAAGCTGGCATCGAATGATGACATAATTGTCTTTCCAGTGGATGCATTCTAGGTTTGTCATGGCCAGTCATTTATCAACCAGGCGGCAGGCGGCGTTATTACTTGCCATGGGATAAAACAGACCGCCATGGCCGCGTATATCTCTTGGGTGGGAACATCCAGGTGGTTTTCCAGCCTCTGTGCACACAGCGTAAGGAAGCCAATAGCTCTCGCAGATGGCGAGCAATGCAGAGCTTGCCAGGCGCCCACGATCGTCTGAGAGGGTACATTTTGGGCGATGCAGTCCTGTTATTAAGAACCGAGTCTCTGCCATGGAGCAGATACATTGAATACCCGATGGACAGAAACCCTTGGCACAATGGTTGGAGCGTTTTATCCCTAATAAACAGCTCGTGAGTTCGAGCCTCGGGTGTTAAAACAGGTGGGGTTCGGTATGGCTGATTGCTGATCGCTAATTAACCAGAAATAACTATTCCAGTCTCACTTATCTTTGTCAGTAATATCTTTCCATGTATAATATACTAATCACGGGGCGGCTGTTGGGGAAGCTGGAGAGTGTGCTTCAAGGCACAATGGGATGCGTTAGCTCCGTAACCATCAGTGAGCACCAATCTATTGTCATCCACACTGCCGACTGAAATGGACAGGACAACGAGCCCTGGCGCAGCAGTTAGAGCTTTGGACTTCTGAGTGATAGATCGCGAGTCTCAGGAGTTACAACAGCTGGGGTTAGGTATGGCCGGTCTAATCCAAAAGAGCAACCTGGGATGATGTTTCGCATTCCATGCCTAAGTTGTCCTTGCAATTAAACAGTTCAAACTGAACGCATTGTCAGATAGCGCATACATGAATATAGGCTGGCTATACGACTGAGTAACAAAGTGTCGTAAGTTACTGTCCACACCTAGGAAACAGGCCGTGAGTTCAACTTCTCAGCCGTCATTATACTCGCCTACGCCGGAAAAAATTCAAACAGCGAATTACTTGAAGCCTGGTCCACCGATGGGGACTTAATCGATCGGTGTATCGTTTTGGCGGCGGCGTACAGAGCCCTTCGCAGTCACCTTCAGGCTTGCGTCACTAATAGCTGATTGATTGAAACTCCATGTAGTTAATGCCATTTTGCTGTTGCTGTTATCTCTGATGATGAACTTCTGTACGAGTTTGAAAG